CCAGGCAGTGATTGGTGTCCCCCAGTTCAGCTCCTGCGACACCCGCAGGAAAACCACCCTGCTCAGGGAGCCCCAAGGACCCCCCAACCCTGAGCTGCCAATGTCCCCCTCTCTTAAAGCCCCCCAAGCCAGCCTCAGGGACCCTCCCGGGAAGGGATCTGCGCCTCCATCTCCTACGGGGCTCTTGCCCCAAACTGGCAGGAACCCGGTGCCAAGGATGAGAGGCGCGAGGGGCCCAGGACATCTGCCCCATGGGGGGGCGGTAAGTGGCCTTCCAAGCCCCCCAGCTTGGAAGGAGGAGAGACCTGAAACCAGAAAGATATGAGCACGAGGAAGGCCCCCCCTCTCCCAAGGGGGGGGGGAAATGCCCTACCCAAAGGTGACCCAGCAATTCACACACAAACCCCCACACACACATCCCAACCCAGGGGTGTGTAATCTGGCATTGCCAGTCTGTGCTAGTGAACCTGCTGGCCCCCATGGGGAGGGGGCCGTGACAGACCCTCCAGGCCAGACGGGGCGTCATTCCCTGCACAAGAAATCGAAGGTTGCTTTGTTGGGCCCGAGGGGCAATTTATGAAATGTAGGTGCCCCCCCCCGCCCCCCCTTCCCGCTGTGCAGAAGGGCCAGAGGGCTTAACATGCTTATTAGCTTCTTCTGCTAGAGACGCTCCTACCTCGCATGTTTGTTATATTATATTAGACGGGATCCTGGACTTTTTCCGGGAAGGGACGTCAGGATTCAATCAATCCACAACGAGCCAAGGACCAAACCACACGACTTGGAACCAGCCCCCCCCCCCTCGGCACCCCCCAAAGGGGACCAACTCACCCGGCCCCAACGGAACGGCGGCTGCGGCTGCTGCGGCCTCGGGGAAATAGTCCGCGGGGGGAGGGGGGGGGACAGTTGCCCTGCCGTGTCCGTTTCCAGCCCCCCCTCCGCGCGAGGGACGGGGCGGCTGCTAAGGGAGGGGCAGCCAAGAGGCCGGGAGGGAGTCTTGAGCGGGGGGCTCTCAGCGGCACCCCCGGAAAGACGCCCGGCTCCCTTCTCGGGCCTTTGGGCTGCTTACGGGCCACGCCAACTTCGGCACACCTGAGACCCCCGAAGTGCAAAGGCGACGCCGCCGCCCACACAAGTTGCCCGCCGGCCCCTCCCGCCGTAGCCCGGGAGAGCTTTTTGGGGGACCCGGACGCCACCCCGGCCGGCAGCCGCGCAGACCAGCGGGCGTCCCGCAGGCGGAGCCGGTCGCGCGGGGACAAAGCCTGCGTGGCCGCGGCCGAGGGCAGGGGGGGCGGGGGGTGGGGGGGGGGGCGGCCCCCCGCCGGAGTCTCCTGGGCGGCCGGAGCCGCGGAAGGCCGAGGCGGCTGCTCGGCGGAAAGACGCGCAGCCCCCGAGCGCCCCTGGGGCTGCCGGCCGAGGCTCCCCCGCGCCCCTCCGGCCGGCCGCGCAAATACCTGCTCCGTCCTCCGCCAAGCTGCAGCGCCGCGGATCAGCCCCGCTCCGCCCGGCAGCCGGGAACAAAAGCCCCGCCGCGCCCCAGCAGCCGGGATCCCGCCCTGCCGGAGAGGAAGCCCCGCCGCCGGGGGGGGGGGGGGGGCGGGGGCGGGATTTCCCCGAGACCCTCGCCCCGCCCGCCCTCGGGAGCCGCAGCGGCAGCGCCGGGGAAGCCCCTCGCCCCGCAGGAGGCAGCCAGCCAGGGGGAGGAGCGCCCAGGCGGGGAGGGCGGCGGGGAGGGCGCTGCGCCGGGGTCCCCTTCGGGGCGGGCAGGCTGTTGCCATCCGCTCCGCGGAACGAGGGAGACCCCGCCGGTGGGCAGCTCCGAGCCAGCGACCCGGGGTGGCCGTTAGCCGCTGGAGAGGGTGGCCGCGAGAGGGGCGCACGGGGCGCGGGGTAGGCGGGCTGCGGCCCCGAGAGGGTCTCCGCCGTGGAAGGCGAGGGGCGGAGATGCGGCTCCAGGACCTCCGAGGGGGCCGCCCGCAATGGGTCTCCCCCTGGGAGATTGGGGCTCTTTCCAAGGGGGACTGGACGGCCCCTCCCCTCCCAAACGGCCCCCTTTCCCCCTCCATGGCCCGCACCGGGCGCCCTCGGGGCCGGCTGAACCCAGGGGCTGAGCCGGACGGGGCTTGGGCGCGGCGGAGGGAAGGGACGGAGCCCGGGCATGAGGCTCGGCCGTCGCCCGCCCCGCAGAGAAGCCCCCGCGGGATCGGGCCTCGCAGAGCGGACTGCAAGGACCCTCCCCGCTAAACGGAGGCCGGCAGGCCGCGCTCCCCCCCTCCCCCCACCCAAAACGGGCGAGCAGAATCCCCTCCCGCCCATCAGCCCCGCCCAAGCAGGGAGCGGAGAAGGCGCGCGGGGGGGGGGGGAGGCACGGCGCGTGCAGCCCAAAATAGCGGCGGCCTATTTTTGTCAAACCGAACCGAGGAGGGAAGAGCCCCCCGGTGTCACCCCGCCCCGCCTGGGACCGTTTCCCAGAAGACGAGGACGTGACTTTGCGGGGGAGAAAATCCCTCCTCCTCTTCCCTGCAACCCAGAACGAGTCAGCCGAGCGACGCGGCCGGTTCGGCCTGGCAGCCCGAGCGGGAGGCGCCCCGTCACCCCCAGGGCGGGGAGGGAGGAGAGTGAAGGGCCGCCGCTGAACCCTAGCTGAGCAGCGCCCCCCCCCAGGGCAGCCCCCCCCCAGACCCGCCGCTCGGCCGCCCAGAGGGGGCCCCGTCTGCGGGACCTGCCGCCTCCGGGAGAGCCGCGGCTGGGAGGGGGGCGCGCGGGGCTCCCAGGACCCCGCCAGCAGGAGCGGCCGAGGAGGACGGGCCGGGCCGCCCGAGGGACCCGCTGCCGGCTCAGGCTCGGGAGACGCGGCTGGGGGCTCCCGGGGCGGCCAAGGCCGAGCCGGCGGTCCGTCCCCTCCAGGGCAGAGGCCGCCCCGCCCCTCCCGGCTTCGCGGACGGCGCAAGGAAGCCAAGGGCGGCGGCGCGCATCTGCAGCAGGGGCCGCGCGGGTGTCCGTGGGCCGAGGCGAGAGGACGGGGAGCCTCTGGGGTCGAGAAGCCGAGCGCCGCCGCCCCGGCCGACCTCCGGGCTGGGGGTGAGGAAGGGAGCCTGCAGAGCGCCGCCCTCCCAGCCGCCTCCACGGGCCGGAGGGTCCGGGGCCTTTGCCGCCTCGCGGGTCTCCCCCTGGCCGGGGTCTGCAGCTCCTCCCACGCCGGGGCTTCCTTGGGACCTCGAGGGCGGGCACCGCGACCCTCTCCCGGCCTTCCCAGCCCCGCGCGCCGCCCCACCGGGGGCCTTTCCTCCCGCAGCCGCCTCGGTGCCCGGGGTGGGACCTGCGCCGGCCAGGCAGGGACCTCCGGGCCTCCCTCTCCCCCCCCCCCCCCCGGCCCCGTAGGGGCCCGCGCCGGGTCGCCCCCGATGAGCCCCTCCCGCCCCCCGAGACTCCGCTTGCCGGGGGACCCGTCGAGGTGGCCGGCGGCCTCGCTGCCCCCGAAGTCCGCTCCCGGGCGGGGCTGCTTCTGGGCCGCCAAGGTGGGTCACGCTCGGGAGGAGGCTGCCCGGGGATCCCCCCCCCCCCCCCCAACCCGGCCCCGGTGGAGGCAAGGCGGGCGGGAAGCGCTCCCCCCCCCGCCCAGGCGCCGAGAATAGCCGCCACACGGGAGGTTCCCGCGCCCCCGGCCCCTCCCCGCCCCCGCCCGCCTTCCAGGGAAACGCTCGGGGAAGCCCGGCTCTGCGGAGGGATCCCGCCCGCCGCCTCGTGACTCTCCCCCCTCCCCACCCCCGCGGCTCTTGCAGAGGGAGATGCCCCGTTGCCATGACGACAGGGCCGGCCTGGACCACTCCGCCTTCCTTGCGGGAGGCGGGGGTAGAGCAAAGCTGCCAATCACCGTCGCAGATCCACCCACGCAATCCCAACAGCGGAAAGGGGGGGGCC